TCCAAAAGCCGGCATGCGCGTGCAGCGTTGGGGCAAAAATCGAAGCAACCGCCGCATTTCCGATGACCATATAAACAAAACAATGTAGGTGTAATTCTAGACTCTTAGCAAGCACTTTTTGTCGTATGCTTTTTATTAGCATAAATTAATTCTGAAGGTTGTTTTATAATTATTAATAATCAAGAGATCTAATATGTTTGTCATTCCATCGCAATTTTTTTCCAGTAAACGACAGTCTGTGCTGAATCTTCGATGGTCTTTGCTTTTTCGCAGTAGTGCTGATTGCAGTCTATAGAAGTCGTTAGTGTTAAGCTCTGCTGCTTATGTGGTGTTCGCGTTAAAATGTTTCGATCCTTGTCTCGCCGCCGTTGTTTCTTTGGTTTAAACCGTTTTGTGCGCAATGCCTTTACGTCTGACCCACTAACAGAATCTAAGGGGCAGTTCTACTACGTGATCCCTGAAATACCCTGTGATACCACATTGAACAATGCGCTTCTACAATATGCGACTCTACCTAGGTTGATATAATGCGCCTTATAACTTTTAGGCTTGATGGCATAAAGCTGGAGCATATATTCTCAGGAATATCGAAACTGATAATTGAGTACCAAGTTGCTCTGTCTCAACTTACGGAGGACATTAAGTCAAAAACTATCCCCATTACTTACGAGAATGTAGTGTCAAAGTTGGACGAAATTGTTTTTCCTGTCCAACATTCCCTTCAGCTTGTTGAGAGCCTCGGTGCCACTAATAACAATCCTGCGTGGCGCCTTATACTTAGTCGTTTGGTTACCAAACTTCTACGTGCTCAAAGTGAACATCTGTATAGTAATGCTGAGATTTATGGTGCCTTGCACAAGGTTCTGCTTCAGTTGGATCCGCAGGATGAACTCAAAAGAGGTACATATGCCACTTTTTAATGGGAGCAATAAATTTTGTATGAAGTTTGCAAACTGGCTATCAACACTGAGTTCGGCCCTGGTGATTTATTTACTGCATGGCAGAAGCTCGTCTCGAATTGATATATTACAGTCATTATGGAGCCAGTCTATTGGTTTGCACTTGTGTTGCTCACTTTTTTTCAGGAGTGGTTGAGCAATTGCTGGATGAAGGCTGGTCTAACGGGGCAGCTCTTGCTTCTACTGCTGCGGGCAAGGCTGAACCGTGTAGCTCTTGTAGTACTCCGCACTTTCCACATAAGAATGGGAAGGATAACTGTCGAAAATCTCTTAGCCAACTCTCATACCTCCGTTCTGAACTGACAAAGACGGAAAACATGTTTGAACAAATGGTCACCAACAGTGCCTACGTCAGCACTCCCGAGACTATCAGTCAAGCCTCAATTACTGGTCGCTACGACAACGCTAGACGAATTGGGGCACATTTACCCGGTTTCCTCACTAATGTCCTTGTCCCAAATTCGCCTGGATACATACCGGTCGCGGAGTCTGATCTCTCTCCATCCGCTCCCTATTGGTTTCCCTACGCACTGGGTGGAAAGCAGGAGGGTGGCTACTTTAAGGACATGCGTGTCAACCTGAGCATCGATAAATCGGCTAACATGTTCCTTTGTCATTGTAGCAATAGAGAGGTAGGAATTGTCAAATGTATTCATTTTCACTCGTCCTTTCGTGACTTTTGATGATTGCCTTCCTTTTGATTCTCTTTGAATGCTTCCGATTACATCATCGGGTCATTGTCAAAGGTTTGATTTTTTTTAATTGCTGCCTTTTTATCTACGAACTGAAATCACTATTTTGTCAGTATACTCCGTATTTTACATGGTATTAATGGTCAATGTGATCTGATTTGAGTGTCTTCCGAAACCTTAAATGATTGCTGCTTTGGACTCTTATTTTCCCCTGTATTCAGCTGCGACAGGTAGTATGGCGGGCACTAGTGCAGCGAGCGAGTCAGCGAACCTTTGGTGGCTCTTCGGGTCAGCACGCCTCCAATGACGGTCGAATCGAGCAAATGCGGCGTCTACGGGCCCAAGTCGCCTCTACCATGGGCGCGCCAGACTGGCTTTCCCTCGTGTGGCGGCGAACTGCCACCAGTGGCCGTGGGCCTTCTAGCCCCGATGCCCTTGTCGACGAGGTACTCGAACCAATTCGAAAAAAGTTGTTTTCGCTTGGCAAAATCGAGTGGCGCATTCTCAACGAATGGGCTGAGCCTCATCTGCGCATCTCTCGTAAGTTCTTTGATTAGATACTCTTTTCTGACTACATAACATTTAATTTCCGTGAGGTCCTGTAATAACTGGTGTCTTGAACGTACATCATAGAACTTTTGTAGAAATCTGTTTCTAACATTTGGGCTGGCGTATCCCCGGTTTACACAATAACGTAATCATTCTCCAGTTCTGTACCTCAATCACTTGCGCTTATTCAGTGGTGATTGAAGAACCTTCGTTTTGCTGTAGCTATTGCATATTTTGCTTAATCTGGACTTTGGGATTAGTTTTGGCTGCAATTGTTTTTCTTTCATTCAGTAAATACCTTAATGCATCAGACACATTCACAAACCTTATAAGAAAGTTTGTTCACCTCTTCGTTAATTTATCCAGATAAGCTTAAAAGCGGTAGAAACTATACCGGTTAAATCTCTTCTGATGAAGATCCTCAACATGCTTAATGCAGCTAGCCTGGAACATTACGACATCGCTTATGCGATAGAACAGTACAATTTCACGATGTCGTTGGCACCAGGATCAAGTCTATCCACCGACCCTCGGTGCAGACGCGTCCTGCCCTTCGAAGCAAGCGTGGATCGGATCTTTGAACGTCTTGGCGATTTGTTTGGCCTCAAAGTTGTAAGATTACCCCCGGGTGCGGGTCACGCGACCCGTCTCTGCATTGCTGACAGTGTCTCATATGAAGTTGTCGATGCGGATAGGAGGGGTGTCAAACTCGGTGAAATCCTGGTGAACCTCAATTCCAAGTAAGTGGCCTTACTTTTAATTTAAAGTTCAATTATGTGCACTGTTCAGCGGCATTAGTGATCACTTAAACAGTCGAAAGTCGGGAGACCTAGTGGGCAGACAGTGGCTTTTGTGTTCCTCATTTACAAAAACAGCTTAGTGACATCAGGAGGACTGATGGGCGCAAGGCTAATGTTAAGTAGATGCTAACCTACTAAAGGTAATTGTATGCAAGTGCATCTTTTTGATGGTGTTGACTTGGCTTACTGTCATTATCAGTAGAAAGTTAATGTGGTAAGCATCAAATCGAGTTCCGATATCGGTGAGGCAAGATTTTCCAGTGCTGCGCTCTTGTTGCCCATTCAGTGATCGTACTTTATCATGCATTCAAGTCGTCTGCTAGTAGTCACAGTTGCTTCTCATCATTAGCTTCCACTAATTTTTCTTAAACCTGTCATTTTCACCCTCCTCTGTCCCAGTTTGTGCACATTACTGTTTTGAGGAGTACAGTTTTGGCTCCTTCTTGTGATGTCATATGTCCTCTTTTACCTAGACATCACTTCGGCGCCGCGTCTTTCGACAACGTGACGCCTGTGCCCCTTGTGACTCGCTTTCCATTGCCTTCCAAGTCGCCCTCTCCCGTTGCCGCTGAGGTTTCCATTGCCTGCATGTTTGGTAATCTCCCCTCTGACGCAATTCGTATCGGCCTCTCAGAAATAGTACGTATTTGCCTTGTATCAATTGTCACAATCACTCCAATACTCGGTCATCAGCTTCTTAAATAGCTGACATCAACACTGGGCAAACTTTGATGCACTTAAGTCTAAGCAGCACTTTTTGATTCTGCTAAAGTTCACTGCTCACTCTCGAATCAACCCGTTATTTTGATGGTAAGCTTCACTCTCGATTTGACGTTTTCTTATCAATTATCATCCATCCCGCTGGTCTCTGCGGATCATTTATTCGTGTAGGAGGCGCTGGATATCGCGTCTGCATTTGGCAGGTGCCTGCAGCATGTTGTCAGTCGAACACCCTCGTACGCTTTCACAGGTCTAACCACGCCAATGCCGGGTGCAAGCTTTGCCGGTTCAACTGGGGGCATTCCTGTTAGAGACAATGCCTTCTTAACTCAGGACCTCATAAGACTCCTTCTCATTCGTTCTGGACCTATGCGCCAAGCCATTTTCGGAGATGCTCTCGGTGATTCCGGGACCAATTGCGTCGTTGTCAACAATGCGCACGGTCGGTCCGCTTAACTTATCATTAAAATCTCAAAATCAATAACTCTTGAGTAGAGATTTTCTTAAGTCATTCGAAAACTTTCAAGATTCGGTCCTTTCGCTCAATTTAATTCAGTTCTCAATTCTGCTCAATGGGCTCACATTTTAAAGTTGGTATTATTTTTGTACCTTGTTGCTGTTTTCAGGTATAAGCCGAGTGATGGCGTTGCCATTCCTACGTATCCTATATGAATCGCGATTCGATCTTGAGTTATGGGCAGGAGGTCAGTCAGCGTGGAAAACGTGGCATGCCCTCTCTGAATCGCTATGGCTGCAGCATATGCCCTATGCATACCATCCTGATGACCATTGGGCTTGTTCCGCTTTGGGCATTTTCGGGTCTCGTGGTATCCCTGGCATGCGCTACTTCGAAGTTTGGCGTCAGGTTATTGCTCTAGATTGTCTCTCTGCCTTCACTGAGGCTGGCTTCGAGAAGCAGTGGGATGCACAGCAGGTTAAACCAACTCTTTCTTTCAACCAGTTAGTCACTTTCCTGTCGTCCAATGCTTCTGCCTGTTCGTTTTAGGTTAAGGATCTATTTACTCGGTACAGAAAAACAGTTCTTGATCCAGGAACGGCGCTTTCTTGTCGCGACATTTTCCAGGCTTTCAGGGGCCGCGACCCCTTGCCAGACGCTCTCCTTAAAACCTTCGATGTATCGCACAAACTGCTTCGGCGGTCTGCGTTTTCCTCGAACCCAGTTCCTTCTGAAGTCGTTGCAACGCAACAAATTTGACGCGCCTTAACTTCTTGGCTCTACACCTCTTGACCCGTCCGATCCTTTCATTAATTACAGTCATGGCTTACATTTGTCTCTTTATACTTTATTTAATAAAGCAACGGAATTACACCATTCCCTTGTGCATAATTCCTGTTCTTTTCTGATTCTCACTGCTTGCGTTCTGGTGCAAAAGGCTTTGATATTATTTTGCCTGAAATTTGCTTCCACTGTTTTAACATTCAATTTTTATTTGCTTGTGCCGATGAGCACATGCCAGTCATAGTCAATCGTATTGATAGAAAGAGCGTTAATTCCGGTTGAACGGTTACCCACACCAGCCTTATGCTAGAAATGTTGTTCCTGGACTTTGTTCGTTGAATTGGAGATTCCCTAACCTACCAGCAAGACTACCTTCTACCGCTGTAGACACCGTTCCTGAAGGTATTACTGGGCTTCTAATGGTAATCAATGATAATCTCAGTGGGACGTCACTGTCCAATGGCCCGCGCTGTACTTTCCCTTTGTTATATTCCAGTGCTCAGCGCGATGCTACCCTCTCCGCGGTGTTTGGGCCTAGCGCTGGAGTGGTCCTGTCATGGTGTACCATGGTTCATCTTCTCCGGAGGATGGATTCTCGGTCTGCTCATCAGCAGCATGGCCCCACCACCCTCAGCTAGTCCCATTTCCGACCCCTACGTGGCGTCGCGAAGTTCACGCAATCTCTATGGTTGGCGCGCCGCATGTCTCCTCTTCGCCTTGGTCCTCGACGTTCTCGTTGTCGGGTGTCTGAAATTCATAGTTAAGCGGCCTCGTCCCGAGGCCAACTACTCCTCTGATATGCTGCTTACCGTTTCAATTGACGATTGGTCTTTCCCCTCTGGTGAGTCTCGACGCCCAAGCTGTCCTGTTTGCTTTGTGATGCTAGCTTCCCTATTTCGATAATATTAGTTCAAGTCTCCTATCCCAACCATTTATAAATCCACTGATCCGATCCGACTTCTCTGTTTTGTTTGGTTTTGCATCGCGCCTGCCTTCATTCAGTAATACGTTCACATCATTTGCCTATATTTTGGTGAATCAGCTTGAACATCGCCCGTCGTCGCAGCTCTCATTGGATGTTCTGCTCGGCAAACGTGCCAACTGATGCGTTCTACACGTTTACCAACGTATTTTCCTTAAATTGTCTCCCTTTTAAGAGATATAATTGAAGCATCCACCGAATCAACTGATCTCTAAATCAGGATAAATTTACTTACGTACCCAGAGTCATTGCGTTTTCGAAGTTATCCCGGTACTATAAATCCATTTCACTATTAGTTTCGACTCGTCTATGCTGTTTTAAACATCAGTCTAGATTCTGACTGTGCAATTTACTTATGGCAAATTGACATACGCAGGTTCCGACTTTAAATGACGCTGGTTTATACAGAGCTGAGCACTGTAATGAAGCGACACCACCTCTTTCGCCAGACAATATTACGTTTGCTATGAATTAAATAAACTAAATTCTTAAGCAAAATCATTTCTGTTAAATTGATTCCTTCACAAGCCACTGTGCACTTTATTAGAGTCAACATTCTTTATCGAGTTGCTTAACGTCATTCGGGATATTCCTGCTCGCATCGACTGCTACTGCCTGTATTTTTGATTTTTACATGATCTGCTGTGAGTTCGAAGTCCACAGCACTATATTAGCAGGTTATAGCCATTAACGCATTCCCCATGTGCCAGGTCACTCGAGCCGAGCGGGAATGTTGCAGTGGTTGTTGCCGTGGCTTTTTAATCTGTCGGGCTTTTCGCGACTTCTCATCTCCGTGTGGGCAGTCTCGGTGTGCGTCTCGCGCCTTGTCATGCGACGCCACCACCTTGAGGACATCCTCTTCGGCTACGCCTTAGGTTTCTGCCTCTATTACCTCATCACGTGGTGTATCGATTGGCCCTACTGGTTTCGCTTCCTTGGCTGATGTCTTGGCTACAGCGCTCCCCTCCTTTTCCTCGTGTGCTTTCAACGTCTCATCCCACTGTTGATGCCCCGCGTGCCCAATATCATTTGCCTGATACGTTGTGCTGGTAATATCCATCCTTTTGCAAGCCGCTTGGGGCAACACCTATCAACTCATGTCCCAGTAAAGTGAGGCTCATCGTTGGTCAAGTAGCCTCTCTACTTTCATTGATTGGCATTTCGAAAACATAAGGTCTCTACGCACGAGACTGCTGTGATTAACCGAATAGTTTCGTCTTACCCCCCTAACTACTAGGTACATTACGTTAGTGCTCTCTGCACTTCCCCTTAAATAATTTGACATCCTGTAGAAATATATTAAGGGATACATCTTTGCAGCATGGCAGTAAACACTAAGACGCTACTACCTATTCGTGCAATCAGTGGCAGTTGCAAGTATAGGACGCTGCATCTCACGTCACGATGAAAATGGAGGATTCATTGGTGACGCCAATCAAGTGCCTTCGCAAAAACCTCGATAATTCGAAGCTTTCTCGACTGACACTTGCACTCAGCCCAATATTCAATCTCTCAGTTTAATTCAGCTTAAACAATGTGTTTGTTTGCCAAACAGTGGCGCATTTGAACTTTTTCGAAAAAAAAGTGGCTTAAGGGTAAAAGTTTAGAGGAGTCTTGGAAAGAGTTTTTCGGTTCTGTATTCCACAACGTGCTTGCATAGTTGCTCCGCATCGTCGGCTTGCACACCGACCATTGTGGATGTCCACATCTTGCTGTCTAGTCGTTTCACCTCGCGCAAGATGTACCTGGCATTTTGAAGGATATGCTTAAAATAGTGAAGCCAAACATTTCAGCCGTGCGAAATCCGCACTCAGGAAAGTAATGTTGCAAAGAGGTAGGGCAAACTAATGGGTCTGAACGAGTAAGCGAACGTAATTGTCGCTCACGCATTGAGATGCTATCCTTTTGCTTTTGTCAAATAGTTAAGCAGGAACTTATGCGGATGCGATGCTAAATCAAGGCGTGTGACAGGACGTACTTATCACTTAGTCTCCACTGCAAGCGCGTATCCCAGAGACGCAATAGGCAGCCGTCTACTCGTAAAAAGAACCGCTGGAGAACGAAGAATCCTGTTGGCATTACACGGATCTTGACGTTTAGCAATGAGATTCCGTTGTCCCCAAGTTCATCTTCGAAGAGATTTATGTTACCAAAAAGGAGGATGGGGTCACGAGACCGAATGAACTTCTGGTCGAGACCCTCAGGCGTACTTTGGACAAGCCAATCACCTAAACGAAATACCAGCAGCAGAGGGTGGAGTGAACAGGAATAGCAAAATTAATATTAATTGACGGTATAGACACTGCTTTGTTAATGTGAAACAAATTTCAATGTTATCACTACCAGAATAAAGTTCCGAATGAAATAAAGGGAACTGACAAAGAATAAATTGACATGGTGTTCATAAACTCGTGCCTTGAGTAGCTTTCAGAATCTCGTCATAGGGTAGTAGGCCAAAAGAGCAAGTTTAGATTTCATGTGATCTAAAGGAGCACAATACCATATTTCTGGAGGGATATTTGACGATCATGCATACGATAGTAACGGTGGGAGTCGCCTCTAACTACCAGAAAATAGTGTTAAGATAGTTCAGGCGGACAAGTGGGTCGACGAATTATAGCATACCGATCATGGTGCCTTCGTAGGTTGTGGAAAAGGTCCAGTCAAATGGATTTAGGATGGAATATTTGTGGGAGTGCGTTCTGCTCCATTGCTTAGCGGCTGGAACTTGGACATGGATTGTACATTTGTCAACTAATTTCAATGCGTCAAGGGCACAAAATTCTATCTTCGCTTCTCTTTCACCTTCTAAAGGAATGCAAAGATGAGTCAAATGAAGGTTTTACGCCTGGTAGAAAGGGATAATGAGTTTTTTGAAAATAACATTTCAGGAGTACATGGCAAGTCTATTTCCGATTCGAACAGCTAAAATGCATTGAATGAGATGACGAATACCTCTCTTTCATCACCCAAAGCTTTGAGAATGTGAGCCTCTGTAGTTTTAACTAGCCATTGACCGAGTTGATGAGACTGCACTTTTACACCACTTAGGTCCATTTAGAATCAACCTACAACAGATAAGCAAGCCACAAGGTATGGCTCCGACTGGAATTAAAGCCCCATGAAAACAAATGTCTGCATTTGGATTGCAGAAAAATAAGTAAACAGCTGCGAAGGGGAAACATAAAACCGGAACTAATTGTAGTATATTGAACGAAATTCCCACCAACTTGTGGGTTAGTACTGAGAACATGCGTTAAAGAAATAGCATAACTCAAAGCCAAAAATAAGGAACTCAAAGTTGGACTACTAATTAGAGCACGACATCGAGCACACCACGCGTACAAGAAACTGCGATCCGACTTCCGCGGGCTAGAGGAAGAGAGCGGTTAGTTAGAGCGACTGCATACGCCTGTTTGAACGTTTAATTTGAATACAATATAACTACTCTTAATTGTGTCTTTCGAGAAAATATCATGAATAAACAGAATTGAAGCGTCATTCGCGGTCATTGTTAACAGTAGCCTGTTTAAAGTTCATATTTGTTAGAACTTGTTCAAGTTCAGCGGATTGTGCGAATTGCAAATAAAATTAGGGTGTACCATAAAAATTCGCATCTATGGCGCTAAATTACGTATTCATCATTAGCATTATGTTTGTTATACATTCTTCCACATTTCTTCCGCCTTAATTGTAATAAATACTAGTTTGTTTAAGTGGACTTTTACAGGTGAGAGGCAGGAACAAATTGGAGACGCGAATCACGTGCGCGAAGCTAGCAGGGAGTCTCTCTCCGATTGATATCTTCTACTCACCTCACCTGTATCCCATTCCCCATCCTTCCTAGTAACAATGCCTAATAAATCGTCTGCAACGAACTGCCTCTTGAAGTTTGGTGAAGAGCTTGTAGCGTCCCAAGGCTTCCTGTAGGTTGAATAAGTGTATTACGAAGACCACAGGACAAACAGGGCCTGAGCGTGGCTCGAGAGTCAGCCCACGTGTACAGGGACCGGACAAATTCTAAAGCGACTGCCAAACCTTAGTTGGTCAGGTTAACAAAGCAATACAGAGTTATTAGGTATTGATATGTAGTTATAATCTGCAGGGGTGGTGGTGTAGCTGCGTAGTACACAGCCCCCTTTTCTTTCGAGCACGTCCTCAGTGCTTGATGTTTAGCCTTCCCCTAATTCGTCAAAGGATATCTGCTCCTCTTCTGGGGCGCGCTCCTCATCTTTTTGCTTCGCAAACGGGTAGAATATATAGGGACACATCTGCTATCTTGTTATAAGACCTTTATGTGGCTCTGTATTTCGTGCGAGATGGTTTGTTAGCGGCAACACATGAGCCACAAAGTAGGAGTTCTTACTCTGATGACAACAGAACTTATAATGTGCAGCTGAAAAAGAAACTCGGTTCGTATACCGGGAGCAAATCTTCTTCTTTGTAAACCTTAGTTTAACCGGCCTTCATATGTAGGCTCACATCAATCCTCGTGACTCAGCCAGAGGTCAAAGTTATCCATCCGAGGTCCGTGCATTATCTTGCCTATTATCTAAAGGAGGCAAAACCACTATACCATTCGATTATTTTCGGCAGAAACATCAATAATTAAAGTCTCAAATAGATACGTAGACGACCTTGATGCTGCTGCGTATGTCTTTCTTCGCATTTCGAAGTCACCGCCAGTTTAGCGATTTCACGCCTCAGTATGAGTGCGTTGGCTCAGGTCTTCTCTCGAAAGCTCTATTTTTCTGTTGTATCAACATCCAATGCTCTGCACTTTATTAGTTTGAGGCTTCTCTCGGCCAACACGTCCGATTTTCACCCATCCTTGCATAGAGCTGAGGAGGATGCTGGATCAAAATCGAAGAATGATTCAGGTTCATGGTCTGGAAAAAATGCGTGGAAATTGGGTGCTTTAAGTATAGCAGCATCTGCTGCATTTGCGGCAGGTTGTGGAATCGCTGTTTGGGGTAATTTATTCTTATGATTTATTATTCCTAGGACCACCCGGCAGGGATGAGAATGATGTCGAGGTAATATTTGTCATATTTAATTTGCTTTTAGATTACAGATGAATTTTCCAGTCGTATGTGCTTTGTTCATTCATCTTTTCGTTAGTTCCAAAATGGAGAGGATACATATGTCGAGCATGGCAAACAATGTGGGATTTTAACCAGGTTTATTTTTATACCGTTCATCGTACTTTTAGAGCATTCGGGATCCTATCAGCGAAAAACTTCTCCCTGACCCAGTTGAGCCTCCTTATTATCAACCGCCATATACTATTGTTTTGGAAATAAATGACGTACTGGTTCATCCAGATTGGAAGGTCTAATTTGTTGTAACGTTATGTTTGTAGTTTAGGTCCGGTTGGCGTTTTAAGAAACGACCTGCCTTGGAACTATTTTTGCAGCAGCTCTCCCCTTTTTATGAAGTTGTGGCTTTCACACAAGATTCTGCAATGGTATAGTTAATCGCAGCTTAAAACTTTTGTTTTCGTTGTTTAACCCCCTTTTACTTGTGGAAACATTTTGGATGGCTCTTTTTGAATTGCCAAGTTCATTAACGGTTTTGAGAGGTTGTTTGGAATCCTTCATTAACAATGGTCCTACCTGTTTTCGTTCAGACTGGTATGCCGGTATTGTCGCAAATCGACTCAAAAGGGCAGTATATCCATTACCGTCTTTTTCGTGAATCAACTCGTTACCGTAAAGGCAAGCATATCAAAGATCTTTCTTGCTTAAATCGAGATCTTTCACGGGTCATTTTGATCGATTGGAATCCTGATGCTGCTTCGATGCAGCCGCGGAATGCCTTCATCATTAACCGTTGGACCGGTGACGATTCGGATAGGGAGCTCATTGATTTGGTTGCTTTTCTTCGAAGTAAGTTTCTCGTATATCATAAGCTCCTCATTTGTGATTCACCACTTCGCTGTTCCGTTTCATTTTATGTAAAATTGGAAGGGACGTTAAATTCCTATCTAATGTTGTGCGTTTCTCAATCAAAGTTGTGGTCTGACTTTGTTGAACTTTTTGTAGTAGGATTGTGGTAGAAGAGTGGGTTTGCACAATGACTTTATGGTCCATAATCACTAAAACATTGGCTTTTTTCTGTGCTCCAATTTAGGCACACCACTCTGTACTAAACTACATCGGTCCTTTGAGGACTTATTCTTTCAATCTACTTATTTTCCTTTCTTGAGCAGTCTCCGTCGTGTTAGCCTAGTTGCATTAATTTTTGTCACCTTTTTGCCTTCTCTTCATCTACATGGGCGGCTAATTAGTTTTGTAACCTACCTGCGTTTTTTTGAAAATGCTATTTTTAAGTACTTGACGGAATCTCTTTGCTGAAACTTGTAGTGATTGCTATGAGTGGAGTGAAAGATGTGCGTCCCGTGCTGGATCACTATCGCCAGTTTGACGATCCGCTTGCCGCTTTTAAGGAGAAGCACGAGCAGCTCATGGTTGGTCGCCGTTTTAATGTTATTTTCAATATGTAGCTTCCGTAGTCTAACAGTATGCGATCTGAATTCTTTGTCAATAATTTCATAAATAGCAAGAACATAGATCTTTAAATTATGCTGAAGCAATGCATAACGTCACTTAAGTTACGTTTATTATAAAATGCTCATTTTTAGGAAGCTCAAGCAAGAAAGAAGGAGCAGGAGAGGATGGCTGCAAAGAAAAGGTCGTTTGGCTTCAGTTCATTCAGTGGATTCCGTCGATGAAACTGATCCCCAGCACATCTTTCCACTCCCAACCTGTAAATACTGCAGTGCTGATTGCTTCTCGGCTACCCTGTACAGTGAAAATCCATGACCTAAATCGTCTTCTTTTGCCAACATGGTGTGCTACTTGGCCTTTACTAGTAGTTAATCTGTTCTATCGACGTTATTGCTTTACTCCGTCGTAGAGGCGTTGTAAACGTATAGATACGAATTTCCAGCCTGGTGCTACTGCCTTCCTTGCTGGGATTCGTGTCTTCAGTCACAATTTTCTGTGAGGAGCCTCTGTGGGCTCGGAATCTTAGCCATCTCTGGCTAACTCATATTTTTGTTTGATGAATAAGTCAACTGGTTGATTTCTTTCGATTGGTGGCGATGTCGTCTTCACGCGGTTGATGTGTCTTGGTCCGATTCCACAACTGGTCTCTTTCAATGTTGATGGCTGATCAAAAGGGGGTTTTTGAAGAAGTGGATCTCTGCTGTGGTCTGGTGGTTTCTTTCTCAATCTCCCGAGGTGTTGGTTCAGTTTGCAGCGTTGTTTTTTTTGAAATTTGGGGGTAGGCTGTTAACATTACAATATTCTCGTCTCAGTGCCTCTGTTGTCGTCTTGTTTGTGCATGACACCTCCTCAGACCCTAAGTAGCACTAAGGATTGTAGTCAACCGTGCTGGTAGCGCAGTGGATGCATGTGCTTCCCATCAGCCAGAACTCATTGTCTACTAGTTCGACCAATGGATTTGTATCGTAATGTGCATCTCAATTTTTTTGGGGAAAGGGGAAGACTAGTTCTGATTGGGCATTCGTAAAATATCACAACAGCCATTTTTTGGTGATATGATTTGTCCTTTTATGATTCCACATGGAAAAGGGCTATGGATGTCAGACCTGATCGAAAGAGTCACTTTACAATAAATCGGAACCATTATCGCTGAGAATGCGCACATGTCCTTATTATTATTATTATTGTTATTGTTGTTGTTGTTCGCGCTTTCGCATCACAGTATTGCCATCACGAGTCGTCATAGTCTGAGTTTTCCAGCTATGCAAAGCGTCTCGCCAGGTTTCATTCCAAGTGCATTTAAGTCATAACCGATTTTAGTCAGCTTATCATTTGTATAGCATTTTTTGGTGCCATCTCCTCATTCAAATATGAAGTCAATTCGATGTAATTATTCTATGTTATTCTCATACAGGATAGTGGCAAGTATTAAGCTACGATAAATCATAAAAATGAAGGTCCTCTTATCTTTATTTTTCACACTTTATACTGGTTTCGTAGGTGATACCATTTTGCCGATTAAGCGCAAATATTGTAGCTCCCAAGCGGGCATTGATAAAGTCTTTATGTTAGCCTTCAGCGATAAATAACTCATGCATATAAAAAGCGGACGTCAAATATGCTTCCGTCGAATAGTAGGCTTTAACTGCAGTCCGCTGTTTTAGCTTTCGGTGAATTAATGTGTCGTTCGAGGCTTGAGTATTTGCGCGACGCCATTTAACGATAGCTTTAGTGACTGGAAATATGGAGGCATCAGTCACCGCTTCCTAAGTTGTCAGCCCGGCCACTACAGTTGTTTGCATTACCACTCGCATCAAAAGGAACAGTTGAGATAATCCATCAGCAAGTTTGTTCGAAAGTCACGACGAACTGCTCTGACATGATGAGGATAAACTTTTTGGGTAGCCCGATTGTAGTGAAAATGGGCAATGAATCTAAGCGAAGGGATCATCAGGTACTTGAATTCATCGGATAAAACGCTACCGTTCTGAGATATACGGTGATGGCTGTCATTGATGTTGTCCACCTATGCAACCTAGAGATAGTACGTCAATCCTAAGGGTGGTGCTGGTTAATGTGTTGGTTAAATTAGCAAACCAGCTATCTAGCCACTTACTTTTGACGCCTTTCAGGGTTTGAGGACAGTTTTATTTGCTGTAATGCTCAGTTTTTATTCTCCGAACTATTGTAACAATTAGAAACATGATTGAGCATTGAAAGCAGTACATGTCGCCAAATGAAACTTTATTACGTCGGATTTAAATGAGCGGATGGGCTTGTGCATGTGCCAGTTGGCAACACTTTGTCATTCATTTGCCTTGCAATGATGGTCATTATGAATGCAGTTCTTGAAAAATGGTGCCTCACGTGAAATGAATAGGTGCCTCGCCATCAGCCAGCCTACTGCCATTTGGCAACTCTACAAGAAGCTTCTTCTTTCCTCTATCCATTCTTAATTAGCCAATGATGGCTGTGATTCGTAGGCCGATAGTGCCATTGAACGGAGCACATTTGATAAATCGTACAAAAGACAAAGTTTAAATAAGTGCAGCACAATTATCTATTTGGTACTTCTATTTGGTAAGAGTAGACAAATGGTCCTTTACTAGCAACAAGCTAGGACCGTTGGTATTGTCGATGACTATGCTTTGAAGAATTTTGCCGCTAGTGCAATGTCTAGTTTCCTCTTAATGGCCGCGTAACCTTTGATGTTCTCCACTCAATGTTAATTGGGATCTGAGCGGTGTGTTTAATCTGTTTAAAATTAAATGGGCATTTAGGAGTAGTATTTGGTGGGTCCCTTTGAAATTGACTGATCAGCCCGCCTTCGATTTGTCATTTGGGCGCAGATGACTCCTCCACTAGGACAAATGTGTTTAAACAGACATCCAACTTCAAAAGTGGTTTATCCTCCAGCGATATGTGAGATCGTGAGATGGTGCCATTAATAATGGTCGTTTATCAAAGCAAGCAAAACCATCATCACATCATACTTATACGCAATAGATGTGATTATAGCTTGTCTGGTGATACTATTTGCGTACTCTGAGGTCAGCTTACTGTAAAAAAGGACTTTGCATTAAAACGTTAACTA